CAAGCAATCTTCCTGCCTTGGCCTCTCAAAGTGTTGGGATTATAGGCGTGAGCCACTGGGCCCAGCCAACTGTGCAATTTTCTAGTGGCAATTTGATGACAAGAGGTTACCAAAATTCTACATCTAGTAATAGATCTTAGGGAAATAACTGAAGATGGACACAAAGATATATGTTTGAGGATGGTTATCAGATCATTACCATGGTTTATGGTACCGAGAATTTGAAGACAGCCACAAGGGCTAAATTAGCTATATAACAGAATATGATTTGGCCATTTAAAAAATGATACTGTAGATGAATATTTAATACGCAAAGAGATTTAAAATCTAATATTAAGTAGAATAAATGAAAAAAGTCTACAAAAACAGTATATGCACTTTAATGCTGCATTATTTTTGAATGGGCAATATCTTCACTTGGTTTGAAACCTAGAAAGTAGGCTGGGCACAGTGGATCACCCGAGGCCAGGTGCTCTACACCAGCCTGGCCAACATGGTGAAACCCCATCTCAACTAGAAATACAAAAATTAGTTGGGTATGGTGACTCATGCCTGTAATCCCAGCTACTCAGGAAGCTGAGGGGTGAGAATCGCTTGAGCCCAGGAGATAAAGTCTGCAGTGAGCCAAGATCGTGCCACTGTGCTCCAGCCTGGGTGACACAGTGAGAATCCGTTTCAAAAAAAAAAAAAACCAGTATTAAAAGATATATACTTGTCTTTATTTCACTGAGTATCTGTCATCTTGAAAATCTTTCTATATCAGTACACAGAATAGCTTTAGTGTGTCTTTATTGGACAGCACCATATTTAGCTAGGTTAAAAAAATCTAGGGTGGTTCTAATCTGCTGTTACAAATAACAACTGCAACAGACCATTCTGAACATGTGTCATTTTCATGTGTTACAGGTGTAGGATAAAATGCATGTAAGTTTTTTTTAGACGGAGTCTCACTCTGTAGCCCAGGCCGGAGTACAGTGGCATGATCTCAGCTCACTGTAATCTCCACCTCCCAGGTTCAGGCAGTTCTCCTGCCTCAGCCTATAGTCCCAGCTACTGGGGAGGCTGAGGTGGAAGGATCACTTCTTGAGCCTGGGAGGTGGAGGGTGCAGTGAGCTGAGAGCCTGTACCACTGTGAGACTGAACCACTGCATCCAGCCTGGGTGACAGAGACCTCGTCTTAAAATAAACAAACAAACAAAAAACCAGCCAGGAGCAGTGGCTCATGCCAGCACTTTGGGAGGCTGAGGTGGATGGATCACCTGAGGTCAGGAGTTGGAAACCGGCCTGGCCAACATGGTGAAACCCTGTCTCCACTAAAAATACAAAAATTAGCTGGGTGTGGTGGTGGGCCCCCTTAATCCCAGCTACTCAGGAGGCAGAGGCAGGAGAATTGCTTGAATCTGGGAGGCAGAGGTTGCAGTGAGCCAAGATTCTACCACTAAACTACAGCCTGGGCGGAGGTTGCAGTGAGCCAAGGTCCCACCACTAAACTCCAGCCTGGGTGACAGAGCAAGACTCCGTCTCAAAAACAAAATAAAGAAAACACAAAGAAAACATCGGGACACTGTCTGTGTAGGTGCTTTACTCTTGAGGGAGTGAGTGAGCTGGGCAGAAAGAGTATGAGAAATTATTCCATATAAAAAATAACTGAAGAAACAAGGCAGTAGACTTAAGAGGCTCATGAAAGAGCTCATTAAGGCTGGCGCAGTGGCTCACGCCTGTAATCCCACCACTGTGGGAGGCCAAGGCAGGTGGATCACTTGTGGTCAGGAGTTTGAGACTAGCCTGGCCAACATGGCGAAACCTCATCTCTATAAATAATACAAAAATTAGCTGGGTGTGGTGGGGCATGCACCTGTAATCACAGCTACTCAGAAGGCTAAGACATGAGAATCATTTGAACTTAGAAAGCGGAGGTTGCAGTGAGCTGAGATTGTGCCACTGCACTCCAGCCTGGGCGACAGAGTGAGACCCTGTCTCAAAAAAAAAAAAAAAAAAAAAAAAAAAAGAGGTCATTATCAAATAGATAAACATTTGAAAGGTTAGCAGGTGCGAAAGGCCTTAAATATAAGCAACACAGGATGGGCAGGCAGAACTGGCATAGAAGGTTTAAATCCAATCTTTAGAAGCATGCACAGGGCTTGGCAGCAATGGAGTTTCATGGGACTTAGATGGCTTCAGGGTCCATGACCTGTGTCCTCTTCCTACCCCATCACTCACCTACCAAGGCACTGTGGGCAAGTTACTTAGCCACTTTACGTCTCAGTTCCCACACTTGCAGATGAGGATACTAACAGCTATCCTAGAGGGCAGTTACAGAGGATTAAATGAGACAATGAAAAGGAATGTTCACAGCACAATGCCTGTCATAGAGCAGGTCCTAGGGTAGTGGCTGTTATTATCTGAAAATGGAATAGGCTGGTTCCCTAGGAGAAGGGTCAAATAAAGGCTGAACAGTCCAAGTCCCTCTGGAAAACTCTGCAGAGGACTCTTTTGCATTGGCTCAAGGATCCCTAAGACCCTTTCTAGTTGTTAAATTCCAGGAAGGTTACTTATTTGTGTTCTGGCCTGTTTTTGATTTTGAGCCTAAGCATAGCTACCCCAAGGGCAAATCCAGACATGGCAAATAATTTGTTAGTCCCATCCTAACAAATTACAAATGTCCCTTGGCCTGGATGCTACAATCTGGCCCAAAATGTATTATTCAGAAAACTGCCCACATATATCTGAAGCGGTGATTCCAGGTGTACCAGTAGCTCCTTTTCCTCCTGTGAGTGCCCTCTGGTTGACAACACCTTTATAACCAAAGGTGTCATTTGGCCTGTGTGGCAAGCAGGAATCACCGTCCCCATTTTGAAGAAAAGAAAACTGAGGCTCAGAGTCAAATCTTGCTGGAGATCATACCGATAATGAGCAATAGAGCTCTCTCCAATTAGAAAGGGATTTATCAGCAAGGAATTGAGAAATGAGTAAATTGAGGAAGTTTTTAAAATCATCAAATCGGCATAACTATTTCTCACTCACTTTAATTCTGGCAGATTTCTGACACTAGTCGCTGTATCTGATGCTTCTGGACAAAGTTTCTCCACCAGCTCCAAAGGACCAAAGAAAGATTTATTTTGGCCAATAAAACTCTTCTTAACTAAAAAGAAAAACAAAAGTGTTATTCATAAGAACAGGTTGCAAAATTTACTCAGGGGCCCACAGCCTCCCCCCAAAACATCAAGTGAAAGCTGCTAAACTTCATTGCTCTAATCCTTCTTGATTTTGTCTTGGGGACTGGGAGAGGCCATGTAATAAATTAGTCTCTCTGGCTGGGTGCGGTGGCTCAGCCTGTAATCACAGCACTTTGGGAGGCCAAGGTGGGTGGATCATGAGGTCAGGAGTTTGAGACCAGCCTGACCAACATGGTGAAACTTAAAAAAAAAAAAAAAAAAATTAGCTGGGTGTGGTGGCACACACCTGTAATCCTAGGAGGGATTACAGGAGGCTGAGGCAGGAGAATCGCTTGAACCTGGGAAGCGGAGGTTGCAGTGAGCTGAGATCACGCCCCTGCACTCCAGCCTGGGCAACAGAGCAAGACTCCATCTCAAAAAAATGAAATAAGTAAGTAAGTAAGTCTCTCTTTCTCTGGCAACAGAGTTTCCCTGATATACCTACTGTGCTTTCTCCAAGTATGTATCACCCATGGAATAAAATGGGTGCCTCATATGATCACCTATGGAATCCTTCCCGTTTCTTTCTTGATGGCAAAATCAATCATTGATTATTATTTATTTTCCCCCAAACCCTCATCATCATCTGAACTGCAGAAATCGGTCTTCCTGGCTGGGCATGATGGTTCTTGCCTATAATCCCAGCACTTTGGGAGGCCGAAGCAGGCAGATCAGAAACACCATCTCTACTAAAAATGCAAAAATTAGCTGGGCGTAGTGGTGGGCATCTGTAGTCCCAGCTACTTGGGAGGCTGAGGCAGGAGAATCACTTGAACCTGGGAGGCAGAGGTTGCTGTGAGCCGAGATCATGTCAATGACTCCAGCCTGGGTGACAGAGGGAGGTGACATCTTAAAAAAAAAAAAAAAAAAAAAAAAAAAAATTGGTCTTCCTGCTCCTAATATTGTCACCTCCCCACCATTACAATCTATTTTCTATATAGCTATAAGTTCTTTTAAGAACTTAAGTTAGGACACGTTTTTCCCTTGTTTAGGATCTTCCAAAGACACTTAGAATAAAATGCAACTCCTCACCATGACCTTTAAGGGAATATATGGTCCAGCCTCTCCCTACTCCCCTGGCCTCATGTCCTCCCCTCCTCTCCCTCAGTATACTTAGCACATCTGTTACCTGGAGTCTTTCTCAAGCTGAGGAAGGTTGGTCTCACTCAGGACCTTTGCATCTGTTTTATTTATTTCTTTTTTTAAGCTAGGAATGCTCCTGCTCCAAATCTTTGTATGGCTGGCTCTTTCTCCTTTAAGCCTCTGGGCTCACATTTCACCTTCCCAGAAAGACCTTCTTCTCTTTTTTTTTGAGATGGAGTTTTGCTCTTGTTGCCCAGGCTGGACTGCAATGGCATAATCTCGGCTCACTGCAACCTCCGCCTCCTGGTTCAAGAGATGGTTCAAGCAATTCTCTTGCCTCAGCCTCCTGAGTAGCTGGGATTATAGGCCTGCGCCACCATGCCTGGCTAATTTTGTATTTTTAGTAGAGATGGGGTTTCTCTATGTTGGGCAGGCTGGTCTCGAACTCCTGACCTCAAGTGATCCACCCGATTCGGCCTCCCAAAGTGCTGGGATTACAGGTGTGAGCTACTGCGCCTAGCCAAGACCTTCTTCTTCTACCCTATTTGAAAGGTTCCTTCCTTGGTTTTCTATCATTTAACCTATTTTGCTTCCTTGAAAGGGTAGCATTTTGTAATTATGTTTGTTTCTACCTTTATTCTCTATCTCATCCTCTAGAGCATCGCTGTCCAAGGCAGTCACAAGCCACATGTGCTACTGAGTACCTGAGATGTGGCTAGTGCAACAGAGGAACTGAATTGAGATGTGTTTTAAGTATAAGACATACAGTGAATTTTTAAGTCTTAGTATAAAAAAGAATGTAAAATTTCTCATCAACAAGGCTTTTAATTAATTTTTATTTTTTGAGACAGAGTCTCGCTCTGTTGCCCAGGCTGGAGTGCAGTAGGTCAATCTCATCTGGCCCCACAGCAACCTCTGCTTTCCAGGTTCAAGCGATTCTCCTGCGTCAGCCTCCCAAGTACCTGGGATTATAGGAGTACATCACCACATCCAGCTAATTTGTGTGTTGTTAGTAGAGACAGGGTTTCACCTTGTTGGCCAGGGTGGTCTCTGCCCTCTTTGGCCTCCCAAAGTGCTGGGATTACCGGCGTAAGTCACCGCATCCGGCCTAATAAGGCTTTTAAATACTGATTATGTGTTGAACGATATTTTGGATATACTGGGTTCCAAAAAATATATTATTAAAATTAATTTCAAAATATTTCAACAAATTAGGTTTTTAATCGTTTTTTTTTTCCTAAAATTTTTCTTTTATCCCCACAGAAAGGTATCTCATCTAACATTTTTAAAGAAACCTGGCTATTAGAAAATTTAAAATTGCTTATATAGCTTGCATGGTATTTCCACTGGCCAGTGCTTCTCTAGAATGTCGATTCTGAGGACAGGAACCTTGTGTGTTCTGTACACTGCTGGCATTCCAGCACCTAGAACGATGTCTGGCATTGAATAAATGCTGAGCAAATACCTAGCCTGAATTTCCACGTTCCCAAACGCCCCCTCAGGCTCACCTTTCAGCCCATGTTTGAGGCAGTGCTCCATCACTACAAAGAATTGCTGCAAGGGGGCATGGTCCGCATCCAGGCTGCGGCCCAGGCTCAGAGCCGACTGGAGCAAGACCTTGATACTGAGTTTCATCATGTGCATCAGGTTAGCACGCTCCTCCATCATCTGGCACTTAGCAGCTGTGGGGCAGGAGCAGGGACAGCTTCGTTAGTAGACTGTGAGGAGGTCAGGCGCCCGACAATGGTGAGAAGACGGGTCAGGCAGGAGGCCAGGCGGTCTGCTCAGGGCACGGACGTGCTGGCGGGCGGATAGCCGGCATTGGCAGTAACTAGTCCCGGATCCCGAAAAACCACAGCCCCTCACCTGGACGGTGGGGCCTTGAGCCACTCGGCCTTCTGCTCCAGAAGACTCTCCCAGGCCGCTCTGCGCGTTGCTACGGCGACGGCTTTAGCAAGACTGGCAACGATTGGCTTCTCCCAACCCCGGTCCATTTTCGACCAATGGAAAGGCGCTAACTACAGGAAGCCCTGCCCCAAGCTCTCAGAGGGCGTGGCGGGGAAAGCGTCCCGCCTCCGAACATTCCTATTCGGCCAGTCCAGCTCAAGGCCACTCCTACGGAGCTAGTGGGCGCCGTTTTGCATCCTCTATCCAGCACTGGATGTGGGGCACACCTTGCCCGGAAGGTTTCTAGAGTGTCCTCTCTTGCCCAGTACCTGCAGGGAAGCATTTTCCCCTCAGTTCCAGGCTTACTCAAATTCTTGTCGCCGATCTTTCGTCCACTACTAGTGTACAATTTTAGGTTTTACGCACTTTTTTTTTTTTTTTTTTTTTGGGTAAGTAAAGCCGTTGGGGTCAAATGAATTCAGAGACAGTTCCATTTCAACTCCCATTATCTTGTCGCATTGTTTTGAGAGTATAATAAAAACTGTCTGCAATTATTATCAGATATCTATACGTGCTTGCCAAATGTTCTTTCAAACCCGGTAAGCTGGCATCCTAGAAACTAAAAATTTAGATCTCAAAGTGCAAAGCGCGGCCCTCCTGGGGGCAGGCGTGCGCCTACGTTGTTTTAGAAATATTTGCCAATTGGATTGGGAGCTGGAGAATCGTAATGTTTTTGGTTTGCAGCTGTCCAACTACTGCTGAGGTTAAACAACTTCTGTTTATTATTGTCTCCTAGTATTTCTTCTGTGAATTGCTTGCTCAATTAATTGACTTTCGTGTTGATTTGCTTGCCTTTGTCTTACTGGCCTGTATATTTTGGATATTAATCCTTTGTTTGCCTGTTTTATTTCACGAACATTGATTAATATGAACAATTAAAGAGCATATTTATACGTACTATATTTTTTATACTTAACTACAGTTAAATCTAAAAGAATGATAATATTATGGCGTGAACTTGTAGTAAAATTCTTAAATAAGTATTATTGAGATATCCGGGGACCAAAACTTGGAAATTATCTCAGCAAAACCCAAGAAGGTAGGGGGAGAGCTGCTGGGAAAGAAGAAACAGCCTAAGCATTTTATCTTGGTTGTGGAGAGGGTTAAAAGTGGGTTAAGTAAAGCATTTGTTTGGGAGTGGTATAATTATTTACTTATTTTTTAATTTTTTTGAGATGGAGTTCTTTTGCTCTTGTTGCCCAGGCTGGAGTGCAATGGCGCGATCTCGGCTCACCGCAACCTCCACCTCCCGGGTTCAAGCGATTCTCCTGCCTTAGCCTCCGGAGTAGCTCGGATTACAGGCATCCGCCACCATGCCTGGCTAATTTTGTATTTTTAGTAGAGACGGGGTTTCCTTATATCGGTCAGGCTGGTTATAAACCCCCAACCTCAAGTGATCCGCCTGCCTCGGTCTCTCAAATTATTTTTAAATTTTGAGAGAAGCCTATGTATTACATTTATAAATTCTAAAACTTTAATGATTAGCAAAAGAAATAAAACTTGTAAAACTTAAGGGAGAAACCCTGAAGAGAGCAATAATCGTAAAAGCAATTTGTAAAGATTTATCCTTAAAAAAGACACCAAGCCCAGTTCCATAATCTAATGGTCTTGAAATGGGAATACATATACAGTAGTGTTGCCAAAGCTAGGCATGCCCAAATGTTTCAAGGAACTCAATTTCCAGATTCCCAAGTTTCACAGGCACTCTTTCTCCTCCCTCTACAGGACAATTCAATCCCTAACCTGTCTTCCTCTTGATGCAGTGGCCTGGGGTGCGTGCAGTAGGTCTCACACACCAAATGGAGGTGGAATTGCCCTTGATGATTAAGTAACCAAAAACGTTAAGACCAATCTTTTACAGCTTTATAACATTTAGTTAAGCTTGGTCTTGGGGGAGAGGGGTGGTCTCTAACCCTCTATTTGGGTATCCTGAATTTAGAAAGTTAAATTTTTTCCCCCAACAAATA